TTGCCAAGCGACGAAAACCCAACCCCGATGGCAAACACCGGGGGAGGGGGGAGGGGGGGGGGACATTGCGAGGAAGGTGGGGTCGGATGTGGCTTCAACTGATTGGGCGAGCCCGTCCTTTCGCTTTAGCTGGGGGGCGCAGGAGGGTGAAGAAAACGGCCCGACATTTGGCTGGCTACAGCTTGCGCGAAACATGACCTTGATTGATGAAGGTTCTCCCCGGCGGCACATTTGTGTGCATACGAAAGAGGCGAACCATCGCGTTCGGAAGGCGATCCGTCATGCGAACGCTTCCCGCGGCAGTAGGAGGGGGTGGGTGGGAGTAGTGCGCGAAGATCCTCCGCAGCAGCGGCGGATAGAAATGGGTATCAAAACAGTCTGCGGCGTCCGCCCAACAGCGTTTTTTGTGACGGACTGAACACGGACCCAGAAACAGTTAAGACCGCGCAACGCGTGCAAATTTCAAGTCAATGTTCCCTTGCAACCCTTGCAGTTCGCGTGTTAGGGGACACTTGACCACAGAAGGGCAGACCTAGCCGTTAAAAATGAAGGCGGAGCTCGGTATCAGACTCCACACCCGCAAATTACGGACTAAACCGAGCAAGTACCAGTCATTTCTACACCATGTGCAATCGAAATCGGGACTACGTAGCCCAGCAGGAAAAAGCGGTGCCACGGCGAGCAGTGAACGTGGGTTATGACTGGTAAAAACGACGGGACAAGAATAAAAAAAGCCGTCGCTTTCCGCACCTCGTATCCCGGCCCCTCAAACAGAGCACTCAGCAGCCCTTGTGTGCCGTCCTTCTGGTACGTGATGTCGGCCACGAACACCCTATCCGTCAACATGCCCAGAAAGAAGCCGCTCATCACCCCGCGCAGGCGATTGACGAGCTCGTTTCCCGAATCCAGCACGATATACTTTCCCTGTCGAGGAAAGCAAGGGAAGGGGTGAGCCGTGAAGTCTCACCGTCGGTCGATCGGGGTTGCGATGATATTGTGGCTGGACTCACAGCGATCCGACCAGTCACTACGCGCCCCTTTCCAAACCGAACAACCTTCGCAGGAGACATCGCTAACATCTGGTGCTGATGATAACTATGGTGATGGTGGTGGAGGTGGTAGTTGTGGCAATAGTCGACCAAAGCGGGGAATGCGGGTAGTGGAGGAGCTCACTCATTGGTTTCCTCGAGGCGATAGGCCGCCGGGCCTCGCATCTTGTTTCTTGACTTGCGGAACCCTCGTTCCCTATTCCCGATAGAGTCATAAGAACAGCCACCAAAATGTGCGGCGTGCTTTCGTCTTGACGCGGCGGCGGCGGCGGGGGAGCATATTCTGGTGAAGCTTGACGTCGCAATGCCCCCCGGCCCGAACCTTGCGCTCTCTCCGCTTACGACAACCACACGGAAACACTTCCTCGGCTGTGAAAAATCGTAGCTCGTGCCCCACACCAGGCCAACAACCAGTGGTCAATGACAAGCCAAACGCAAGCTGAACGGGGCCCCACCATCCAAGCAATAGCTCTTCAAGCCTACGGCACACCGCCATTTTTTGCTGCCGTCTACTTGTACACCTGCAGCGGGCGCCCTTGTTGTACGGCCAGCTCGTCTGCCTCCAGAGTTCCCCTGGCGAAGTCGGCGTAGCTCTCCACCGTGCCGACGACCGCCTTCACGGCGCCCTCGCTCAAGAACGATGAGGGGGTCGCATCACCCGCGGCTCGGCCCTCTCTTCCACGCGGCCGATTTTCTGCGTGGCCACCACCCCCGCCTGGTGGTGTCTGTCGTGTTTCCTATGTTCCCATCGTGGGGGGGGGGG